GAACCATAAGGAAAACACTCATTTTTGTTCTTAAAGCTAAGAGTCAAAGTTTGTTTAAAAGTTTTTATTACAACTATCATATAACGTTAACTATAATAAGATTTTTTTATATAATCAAAGAGTCATGGTTTAACATAACGTTTGACTTACTTTCTTTCGCATATTACATGTGATTTTAGGTCACAAATATGATCTTCCCAAACGTAACCATTTGGTCCCCAAAGAACGGCACAATCTTGATTCCAGTCTGCTGGATCTGGTTGTCCTGGAGCCCAGTTGGTGTATACATCAGTGATTGGTTTATGATTCGTGTACCAAACCCATATGCCTTCAATTTCGTCGTCTGTTGCCCCAATCCAGAACCAATTATCCCTCGAAGCTCCTGTTGATTTTTTAATGACAGGAATTTTCATGATTTCGGATAAATACAATTTAGGCTTGTCTGTTTGTATCTCAAGTACCTCAAATATTGTACTGTACAACTGTTAGTTTGTGTAACAGCATAATTTGGGGTCATAATTCTTTATGAACGTTTAAACTTAATTGTTTGCAGTTATAACGACCGACAATATATTCATGGGAAAAATTATGTGTAATTGTTTTTCATAAAGATATAAATTAACTCAACCCTGTCGTTGTAAATACAAATACTGGTACAATCATATTTTAAATACGCATTTTGTTTCAACGTTTTTGTTGTGATTGTATAATTACACGAACTTTGTTGTTATTATTACTATTATTATTATTATAATCGCTTAGGTTTTACAATCTGTGCAAGGAATGTTATTGGCCGATAGGGAAGTGGGCCTGTATAGAACAGTAAATACATTACAAAATCCATTTGAAAAAATATTAAGTTAATTAACTTTTAAGTCTTTAACTTTGTTTGTTGTTACAATTTGTTAGAAATTCATATAAATGAAATGGAAACCTGTCTTGAATAAACGTTGGCAGTGATCACGGAGAAACAATTCCTCTGAACGAGATTCTATCGTCACAATGTGAGAATGGTCGTGTGCATCGCAGAAATGCTTAAAATAAAAACACAGATTTTACATCTAGAAAATCTTAAAAATGGTTCATTTACTTCAAAGAACTTCTTTGCAACAATAACTGTCTGTGCAACTTAATACATGTATATTGTATTATGCAAAAAAACGTACAAAATCCTCTGTTTTGCGGAAAACTATTCTGAATATGTCAATGAAAAACAAAAAACTTCTTTTTATGTAGCAATTGAAAAAAGAAAATATGTTACCGTTGCCTCCGTCCAGTCAACGTTTGTATGATCTGCAAACAGGTAACACGAGTCCTCATAAACAACCCATCCATTTTGACAACATTTGTATCCTTAAAACATATCAAATGAAATGATATAATTAAAGAATAAACTATACCTACCTTGAAGTTAAAGTTCAATTATTATTATACTTCAAGTGAACCACAGGGTTTAATGAGATGAACATATGATCTTATCTGATGACCAAGCAGACTTTCAGAGCGTACATAATTATGCAAAATGCGACAATGGATTCTTCATATTGAAGGGGTAGCCGGACGGGCTTTAAGCCATGTGGTCCAGTACAAGTAGAATAATAATTGAACTTCCAGGCAAGTCTCGTTTTATTTATTTATTGTACTGTACTGGATCACCTAGGGTTAATGAGATTTTAGAGACTTCGCTTACATTTTGATAAGCCGTTAAAACTACATAACCAAATACAATGATTACTCATTCAATTCAAAACTATTAACTAATCAACTGATAATATAATGTACAAAATACGATGTGCAATAGCCATTTACATAAAAATCCTGTAAAAGTAACCAGCATTATAAGAGTTTTCTACTGTACAGAACATATGAAAGGAAAAGCTCATAACACATGATTTGACCCCTGCTGCATGGGTAATCAATATTGCATACTCTTAACAAAAAATCGCCAGTAAGTTTAACACACATACATGCTGCATATTATCTGTCGTATGTATATTTCTTAAGCAATTCACTTCAGCAATTCATCCACACCTTTTTTTCTCTTTTTTTTTAAATTTTGCATTTCAGCAATTTTGAGTTTCTAAATCAGTACAACTCAAAATACAAAAAAATGGTCACAAAACATAGTTATATCAATAACCAAAGCTTGCCATCGATATTAAGTGATGTACACTCAAATGATATTTCTGTGTAGGTAAAGGATATTCTGTTCAAAGCTTTCTATGGTTTTCTATGGTTTTCCAGCAATTCTTTTGTACCCCATTGATTAATTTATGTGGCTTTAAAATATTCCAAAGAATTTTGATATTTTGATATCTTGCAAAATCAAACCTTTTCTTTGATTGTTTTGATATTACTGATTTTGCGGTTAAAGGGCCATTAAGCCTTCTTATGCACTAATTCATTTATATTGTTGTTTTTCTCTTTGTGTCGTCTAAAATATTCCAAAATGTTACTCATTATGTCAATACTTAATCGGTTTACTTTTTATAGTCAGTTGCTTTAAAAAAAACTTGAACAACACCTTATGACCGCAGATTTAATTATATTCCCCGTCAATGAAAAGTTTAGTACCACATGCATATACATGTATAAAGATTTAATACAGCATTAATTTAATTAACTGCCATTTCTTCCGCCACCTTTAGAACATTTCTAGTCTAAAAAATATGAATGCGCTCATCAAACGTCCATAAATAGAAATGTTTTTAGACTAAATAACAAATTGCATTATCTTTTACAATTTTTTCATTTAAACCTTTTGTTTTATTCAATACTGCATCTTTCCATCAAATGTCATTTTGACAGCCTTGACAATAATTATGGATTATGTAAGGCTTAAGTGCAAACGCCTGCTATATACTTTTGTGATAGGCCCGACACAAATCCCTCTCTATCTGAGTGATTTATAGTGCCATTATATAACACAGTGAAGGTTAATTAGCAAACATCACTTGCAAACAAACAAATGAAATTAAGACATATGTTTGGCCTAACAACCAAGCAAGGTTATCAATACCTGCTGTTTTCCCAGGAATAAGTCTAACGATGATAAAAAAATAACAACTTCAGTGAGTCTGAGAGGGTCGAATGCGAGATTTATCTGAATAATAAATCCCAAATTATAAGCCTTATCTTACCCATCTCAACCAATATAAAATATCATTATTGTAATGAATGGTAAAACTTTAGTATAGTAGGTTTGTAAAATATGTACATTGATGCCAATGATTACTTAAATATTTTTTATATGTTTCACTGTAGTAAGCTTTAGCATGCAAGCTACATCATATTTAATTTTGCATTTAGCATTTGTATATGTCTATATGAACCTTCCAACTGTAGAAAATTCCAAATAGATAATATGTAAGAGAGTTTAAATGTATATTTTCTTCGCTAGAACTTTTCATTTCTGATTTTATGTTCTTCCATTTCTATTGACCGAAGCAAGAGCCAAAGGGACATGTGCAAGGCAAGAACATACAGGCAAAGTCATAAAGTGGGCACATTTCATTTTTCATAAACAAATGAAGATGTTAAGTGAATGTTTACCGATTATATCTTCTATCACCGTATGCAGTTTAAACAAATTATCTCTAAGGGCTTTCAGGATATGCTCCGGACAAACAACGGACAGATGGACAGACGGACAAGGTGGCAACTACATGCTCTCCCTTCGGGGAGTAAAAACGCAATTTCCTTACAATTGACATTGTCAGTGTACTTTATTAGAGATACATAGGTTAAGAATGGAATTCAACATAGATATCATTTATAACAATAATTAAATTGAAAATTGTCATCTTACAATTTTCATGATATTTTTGAAATGTCCAAAATTGATCTATAGTATTGTACAAACAGTGTTTACTCACATTTTGTTTTCTTTCTTGTTTATATACTTCTGTTTTCATTCTTATGGTTGCCCCTGAGATTCTTACTTCTTTAGCAATAAACCAGCCGCTATTTTCATCTTATTCAACCAATAATATATAACATTTGTTTAATATCTGTTAGAAATGTAACAATTCCTTCACAAGATCAGTTCCAAACGGTGCGTTTGTCAAGGATACATTTGGAGTACACAGTTTTTGACATTTCTATGCAAAACTTACTCCAACATAAAACCATTTTTGTGTGCAAATACAAGATAGAGATAAACGGAATCACTGAAGTCACCCAAAACGGCAAAATCGAAAATGTCGCAGGCTTGGTTTGATTGAGCCTGTTCAAGGACGATAATGCAAGTTACCGTCAACACCCCTAGCATCTGTTAAGCATTCTTACATCAAATAATAAGGGCTTAATATTTTCTTTACTTATCACATAATAACACATAAATAAACAGAAAAAATATGCGGCACTCTGATAGGAAACTTACAGTTTGTCTGCTTAACTTCGACTTCTTTTCTTTAAATAAGAAATCAAAATATTGGACGACGTCATTTTATCTGAATTATATTTTTAATATTTCAGCAGTTGGGTATTTATCAAATGGTCGCCGTAATATTATAAAACCGAACTAGGTCAGTCTGCTGCGTCAATCAGTATAACCATAGTTCAAAGTTATACCATTTTATATAGTTAATATATAAATTTTGAGATTTCTTTTCATAAAAGAACCCTGGCATCTGTCACAAAGGCATAATTTACTAAATTAATAAACATTAATTTTGTACCTGAAATTACTATATCATAATATATTTTAAGAAGATTCAAATGTACTTCACCCTCGATTATTCCGTGGTCATCTAGAATACTGGCTAACACTAGAATTAAACAATGGACCTTCATCATACCATGCTTACGTATTGTCTGCAAAATATTTTATTCCACCTTTGCTTATCACTGACAGCTCATTAATGTTAACAAAATCTGGTACACTCAAAAATCATTAATGACATTAGTGACGTATTTGCAGTAAACTTCCCATTGTTGTCTGGTGTTAGTGGGTGGGTGGGGAGGTTCTTTTAAATAATAAGAAAACAAACGAAATATGAATGTCGCTTGGATTTTGTAATCACCTAATTACAAAGCGATCACTTCGATGCAAAACTCAACGCATTCTAAAACTAATTAAAAAAATAGGCTTCTTATATTTCAACAAAGACGATAGAGATGTCTTTGAAGAAGATGATGATGATAGTGGCGGTGGTGAGATTGGTGTAGGTGGCGGTGGTGATGATGATTGTGGTATTGATAGTATTAACAGTGGTGGTGAGGATGATACAGGTGGTTATAGAGGTGGTGATGATGATTGTGGTATTGATAGTATTAACAGTGGTGGTGATGATGATACAGGTGGTTATAGAGGTGGTGATGATGATTGTGGTATTGATAGAATTAACAGTGGTGGTGATGATGATACAGGTGGTTATAGACGTGGTGATGATGATTGTGATATTGATAGAATTAACAGTGGTGATGATGATACAGGTGGTTATAGAGGTGGTGATGATGATTGTGATATTGATAGAATTAACAGTGGTGGTGATGATGATACAGATGGCTATAGAGGTGGTGATGATGATTGTGGTATTGATAGAATTAACAGTGGTGGTGATGATGATACAGGTGGTTATAGAGGTGGTGATGATGATTGTGGTATTGATAGAATTAACAGTGGTGGTGATGATGATACAGATGGCTATAGAGGTGGTGATGATGATTGTGATATTGATAGAAAATAACAGTGGTGGTGATGATGATACAGATGGCTATAGAGGTGGTGATGATGATTGTGATATTGATAGAATTAACAGTGGTGGTGATGATGATACAGGTGGTTATAGAGGTGGTGATGATGATTGTGGTATTGATAGAATTAACAGTGGTGGTGATGATACAGGTGGTTATAGAGGTGGTGATGATGATTGTGATATTGATAGAATTAACAGTGGTGATGATGATACAGGTGGTTATAGAGGTGGTGGTGATGATTGTGGTATTGATAGAATTAACAGTGGTGATGATGATGATACAGGTGGTTATAGAGGTGGTGATGATGATTGTGGTATTGATAGAATTAACAGTGGTGGTGATGATGATACAGATGGCTATAGAGGTGGTGATGATGATTGTGATATTGATAGAATTAACAGTGGTGGTGATGATGATACAGATGGCTATAGAGGTGGTGATGATGATTGTGATATTGATAGAATTAACAGTGGTGGTGATGATGATACAGGTGGTTATAGAGGTGGTGATGATGATTGTGGTATTGATAGTATTAACAGTGGTGGTGATGATGATACAGGTGGTTATAGAGGTGGTGATGATGATTGTGATATTGATAGAATTAACAGTGGTGATGATGATACAGGTGGTTATAGAGGTGGTGATGATGATTGTGATATTGATAGAATTAACAGTGGTGGTGATGATACAGGTGGTTATAGAGGTGGTGATGATGATTGTGATATTGATAGAATTAACAGTGGTGATGATGATACAGGTGGTTATAGAGGTGGTGATGATGATTGTGGTATTGATAGAATTAACAGTGGTGATGATGATGATACAGGTGGTTATAGAGGTGGTGATGATGATTGTGGTATTGATAGAATTAACAGTGGTGGTGATGATGATACAGGTGGTTATAGAGGTGGTGATGATAATTGTGGTATTGATAGAATTAACAGTGGTGGTGATGATGATACAGGTGGTTATAGAGGTGGTGATGATGATTGTGGTATTGATAGAATTAACAGTGGTGGTGATGATGATACAGGTGGTTATAGACGTGGTGATGATGATTGTGATATTGATAGAATGAACAGTGGTGGTGATGATGATCAGGTGGTTATAGAGGTGGTGATGATGATTGTGATATTGATAGAATTAACAGTGGTGGTGATGATGATACAGATGGCTATTGGAGGTGGTGATGATGATTGTGGTATTGATAGAATTAACAGTGGTGGTGATGATGATACAGATGGCTATAGAGGTGGTGATGATGATTGTGATATTGATAGAATTAACAGTGGTGGTGATGATGATACAGATGGCTATAGAGGTGGTGATGATGATTGTGGTATTGATAGAATTAACAGTGGTGGTGATGATGATACAGGTGGTTATAGAGGTGGTGATGATGATTGTGATATTGATAGAATTAACAGTGGTGGTGATGATGATACAGATGGCTATAGAGGTGGTGATGATGATTGTGATATTGATAGAATGAACAGTGGTGGTGATGATGATACAGGTGGTTATAGAGGTGGTGATGATGATTGTGATATTGATAGAATTAACAGTGGTGGTGATGATGATACAGGTGGTTATAGAGGTGGTGATGATGATTGTGGTATTGATAGAATTAACAGTGGTGGTGATGATGATACAGGTGGTTATAGAGGTGGTGATGATGATTGTGATATTGATAGAATTAACAGTGGTGGTGATGATGATACAGATGGCTATAGATGTGGTGATGATGATGATTGTGGTATTGATAGAATTAACAGTGGTGGTGATGATGATACAGGTGGTTATAGAGGTGGTGATGATGATTGTGGTATTGATAGAATTAACAGTGGTGGTGATGATGATACAGATGGCTATAGAGGTGGTGATGATGATTGTGGTAATGATAGAATTAACAGTGGTGGTGATGATGATACAGATGGCTATAGAGGTGGTGATGATGATTGTGATATTGATAGAATTAACAGTGGTGGTGATGATGATACAGATGGCTATAGAGGTGGTGATGATGATTGTGGTATTGATAGAATTAACAGTGGTGGTGATGATACAGGTGGCTATAGAGGTGGTGATGATGATTGTGATATTGATAGAATTAACAGTGGTGATGATGATGATACAGATGGCTATAGAGGTGGTGATGATGATTGTGATATTGATAGAATTAACAGTGGTGGTGATGATGATACAGGTGGTTATAGAGGTGGTGATGATGATTGTGGTATTGATAGAATTAACAGTGGTGATGATGATGATGATGAAACAGGTGGTTATAGAGGTGGTGATGATGATTGTGCTGGTAATGGTGGTTGTGAAAGTAATTTGGCGGTGAAAGTGGTGATCGTAGTTCGTATTTTTACCTTTCAGCTGTTCCACTACTAAGGCGTAACTGTGGAGGCTTTGAAATAACCGTTTTGTTCAAAAAGAAAGGTAAAGGCACAAGGTGGGGGTATTTAGCATGAATTTACCACCTTATATAAATTTACAAAGAATTTGTTTGGCTTAAAGTCAGATTCCCCGTTTTTTTGCGGGGTATGTTAATTGAGCATAAAACAAGATTAATGAAAGAAAGACGGTCATGATAACCGTATATAAGTCTTCTAAATTCTCATGTTTAAGTGTACAAATTGATGCTATGTTTAAATAGTTTGAAACATTATAAGCTTCAAAAGTTTTCATTTTGTTGCCCTGCTAACCAGTAAAACACGATAATGACCTACGCATGTTGCCCTGCTAACCAGTAACACACGATAATGACCTACACATGAGTACAATTCACAATCGGGCATTTGCCAGTGGTTCCTGATAAGGAGGTTTTAGCCTTATATTATATAAGCACACAACTTGTAAGGATTTTTGGTTTTCTGTTGTTTATTCGTCGTTAACAATTAACCTTTCTAGAAATGTTGCAAGTACATCGTCAAAAGAACAAGTACGTCAGTACGACATACGGCCGAAAAACTAATAAAAGAGGACAAAAAACTAGGTTGAAAATCACCGACCGCATAAATGAAATCGACCGCGTTGACGCAGTAACGCTGTTATACGGCGTAACCATAACTTAGATTCTAATTAAAGTACATGTACATTATTAAGATGGTAAGATCCAAAGGTTTTAAACTGTTATATGATATGCGCACGCGAAACACAGTCTGTGTGTCATTGCAACGACATTAGCGTGTTGACGTCAAGCAATGTTGTTTTTCAAACATTTGCCACCACACACAATGCAACGTACCTGGTACCCTGGTACCTGGGTAAAAATGTTCTTTTTCTTGAAGTGTCGTGTTGTTAGACGATTTAAAAGGTCGAACCCGTCAGCCGAATCGTTTTGACCCTGTGACCCTAAAACTGTTGTCTGATTGTGGCTGAAAATGTAAAATTTATCTTACAGAAAATATTCATTTATTTGTTTAACTATCACGTTATTGGACCGTTTAACAAATATACTAGTAATGGTGTTTTGAGTCAAAACAAAAAATGGAAAAAATGCCAGAGGCAAGACAAAATCGATTTAATATGACACTAATTTGACACGGGTTTGATTTTATATATCCAGATATGCAAAATTAACAAGTATCAAGACAAAAGTGTTATTCTTCGTAAAAATCACAGTCGCTGACGCGAGAAGTCATTTCCGAAGTCCAAAGTTTAGTATCTTTGTACTAATTGTACAAAATTAAAAATTCTAATATGCAATTTTCACAAAACTCTTCTTATGTACTCATATATAAAATTTTAGTGAGATAGACACACAATTGACTTCTACAGCGGCAATAAATGCACGAGACTAGTGTACAGGGTATATGAAATATGAGCTCAAACGTGTACTGTGTATAATGTGTAACTGTACTCAGTATAAATATGTGCAGTGAAAATGATTAAATGCCTTCACCATCTTCATTATTAGTATAATCATCATCATCATCATCATCATCATCATGAGTATCATGGTCATAGTCATCATAATTTGTATCATCATTTCTTTATATATATATATATATATATATATATATATATATATATATATATATATATATATATATATATATATATATATATATATATATATATATATATATATATATATATATATATATATATGGAAAGTGAAGCATCAGATGGAGTATTTTGTTTGCTGTCAATCGTACATGTAAAAAGTTAACAAGCACATAATGTATGCAAGGATTAACTTGTCAAACAAAATACTGCAATACTCTTAAGTTTTCTGCTATTTAAAGAAATGTAATAAAAAGCAGTGTTTAAAAAGATTGATATCATTATTAAATTGAGAATATTGAATAAACGAGTTGATTAAAGGTCTATGAGTCCGACACAAACGTTTTTAAGGAGTCACAAAAGCAGTATGGGTATCCCCTATCATTGGTATATTGGTTACACAGGGGACATACATGTCTTTTCTCCTGTGCTGTTATAAAGGTTTTATTAAGCTGTAAAAGCAGACCGTCTCTTAACAAATAAACTTTCTGCTGATCCCCTTAGTGATCATTAAAACTAGATGCGATTGTGCATTGTATATTTAAAAGTAGTTGTTGTTGATTTTATGGTTACGTGAAAAATAGCTGTGTCTGTAAGACAAAATGAAAAAAAAAACAAAAACATTTACATTCAAAACAGGAAATGAGTTTTGATTTCTACTTTTGTTTTGACTAATAGTATGCAAATTGTTTAATAATAATAATATATATATTATATTATAAACTGTGAAAATACAGAAGATATATATAAGATTGAACCCTGAACAGGCTCAATCAAACCGAGCCTGCAACCGTTGACAGCTTTTAATTGAATTATAATACTAGTATCTATATTATCAATTTAGCCACACATATCAAACGTGTTCATTTAAATCGATGCTATTTAAAGACAAACAATTTTCACATGTACTTATTCACCGGCAAGTTTCATTTATCACTAGATGCATCAAAACCTCAAGTCTGAAGGACAAACACGTCAGGCTACCAGTTATTAAGTCATTTCATGCATGCAAACATTAGGTTGCTAACTTCATCAAAGTAAAGTAATAAAACTTCAAATTCCTTGGCCATATATGAATGGCAGTCAATTGTCTTTAAAGCTCCATCTAGTGAACTGATCTTTTCCTGTAAATTCTATCCCCCGATGATAATAATAACAACAATAAAAATTAACCATACGACATAACTCGAAAGACTCAAATTACTTTTGTTGATATTGGTTTATTCTTCCAATTATGTAAGTACATGGTAAGTTATTGGTCAAAGTTCCTAAATAAAACAAAAACAAATAGCATGACAATGTATCTAACACAATTGATCTCAAATCAATGTTCAATGATTTTAATGAAGCCCATATCACACATGAGACAGCTATATAATCATGATTGCTTTTTCCAGATACTGTCCGTTATTTGGAAACCCTGCTTAGCTACATTTGAAAATAATGAACGTGCAACCATTTTACTATATGTCGGTATACCGGTGTATGGCTCAGATTCATCTTAAGAAATATTAAAAAATTACCTACACATAAAACTTGCTATGATTTACTGTTATATAGATGGGTAATAATTCTGTTTACAATAACTTCCTATATGAATGTGATCATACAATGAAATTGAGCTACACAAAATAGACGAAGTATATTCAGTCCGCGGAAGGCGGCTCTACTGTTGATATTTTATGTTTTACATGGGACAAATATCAGAACTGATTCTTTCATTTATGTAAGTAACAGGTTGTAAATCTTAGTTAATTAAGTGAAAGTACGATGATTGCAATCTATAACAAATGTTCAAAATTTTCTGGATGTTGTTGTTTTTTCATTGGTAAAAAAACATTTTCGATTTTGGTGTAGTTTAAGAAGCCTCCATTATGAAGTCACGTGCCGTTTCTTATTTCTTATGGCCACATGAAGTTTGAGAGCGAAACCAGTTCAATCAATATGAGGAGTTTTGAATGTCCACTTGTTGAATATAATTTGACATTAACAAGCGCAAGTCCATCATAAGTTTGATGCTTTATTAATTTTGGCGTTGCTTTCTTATTTGAAATGTTTCAAACCTCACATTTATATTATTTTGAATAAATTGCATAAAATCAATTGTATTCAGAGATCTTTATATTTAATTTTCTGATTAAAAAAAAATCAGTTCTAGATAAATATAACACAAACAAATTATGATGCTTTCTGATTAATATATTCTTTATTGAAGTGAAAAGTAAACACAACGGGTCGAACATTTCAATGTTTCTCTTTCATCAGAAAACGTTTCGATTTTATATCCACTTACTATGATTAATAATAATATGTATTGATGGGAAAAAAAGAGAGAAAAACGTTAAGATGGTCAACATAAAAATACTGATAATATATAATACTATTAGCTAAATATAAAAACGCCGTTTACAAACTAATGAATCTAACACGAAATACAAAAGAAATATTATATAAACTTGATACATAGTTCATAAAAAGAAAAATATTCAAAAACAATTACATTTTATTTCAAATGACAGGTGACCAGAATTACCATTCATTTTACCATTTATCAAATGTGTTTGATATCATTTAAAAAAAAATATGTTTGTGAATGTTGTATAGAGCAATTGCGTATGAAAATAAGGGAATTTATAACAGACTAACATTAATGTCCCCTTGCACAAGTTATATACCAAATTTAGTACTTTCTGAAAATGCGCCTTCTAAGATCTATATTTCATGGTTGGCAAAACGCGTCCAAAATTAAGCAATTCAACAAACAAAACCGTGATATTTTTTTAAGAAGGACCGGGCTATTATTATCTATAATGAATGATACAAATATATTCATGACAATTATGTTGAAAAAAATGTAAACGACAGAAATGAAAACTGTCATACAATGATATTGTTGATATAAAGATGATAGAATACGAGCTTTTTAAAATCTTTGATAATACAACTAGGAGAATACAACTAATAAAAGAAATAAACAGGGAAATTAAATAACATTTAAAGCATTCACCTGGCTAATACTGTTCCTTGATGTTTTTAAATAAAATATAATAATTTCCTGATCTAATGATTTACCTGATTTGAATCTTCTATATTTTCAATCAAGATAATATCACAAGTGACCCAACTGTCATGATCAGAGTTACCTTTTTCGTTATTTTGAAAACATGCCTAACTTCATTTGATAAGATAATGTTTTAATCATTTGACTGTCTGTCGGCATCTATAATTATGATATGTCTTATAAACATTACATTGCCTACCCAATGGTTATATCTGTTATATCTGGTTTTGTGATTCAAACAATCAGGTAAATGGCTTACATTCTACTTTCATGGATATCCTATATAAATATAATCAGTAGATTAATATAAGAAATCAAAGAAAAGCAAAACGAAAGGTTATATATACAAACATATATACATGTCCATGGAGGAAGATTCCTCGTTAATAGTTGTTTGATAAGTTATCTTGGGATATTTATATTTCCCATTCAAATGCTATTCAGTTTTCCGGAAGAAAGGACCCACAAATGACATGTAATCAACGAAAGTATTTTTAGTTCTCTGTGATTATCGTACGAAACAGGAGTGTTCTGTCAGAGCTCTACCTGAAAATACAGAAAATAAAATACAAATATGTATTTTAACAGAATAAAGGGATAAGTGTACACTTATTAATAAATCTAACAATATCTTCTTGTGCAATTCTAAAACTGATACGATATATCATATTATGGAAAACGAGACATTAATAAAAACGGTATAAATAAGATATAAAGGTGTAAATATTATTAAAGTTATCATTATTGTTCACCATAGGGATATCTACATTGGGCATTTTATCAAATGCTAGAAAGAACATAATTGTATTCAAAGCTTGACAATATATAATGATTATATTGGTCACAAAATACCTTCATTTACTTATAAATATCTTCTTTGCTCTTTTGAAAGTGTTTAAATTCATCTCCAATGGCAATTTTCTTTTTGAGATTTTCTAGATTATTGATTCTGTCTTGGAATCCCGGCTTTCTTTCCCACTTCTCGTTTTCAATGATGATATCAATATGCTCTGCAACACTAAGTGGATTAGCCCTCAGAGCTATCTGGCTTAGCTGATTGCTACAATCGGCAATCTCCTTCATCAAGTTCAGCATGTCATTTTCCGCTTCATCCAATTCTTTCTTCAACTTGTTGACGATTCCTTCGTGTGATGTCACTTCAGCTTCTGCCTTTTTATATTTATTCATCATTTCGTCATACGTGCATTCTTCTTCCACTTCTTTCCATTCAATAATGAATGGCGTATTCTTATGTTTGTCCCAATAACAATGATCATCACATACCTTGCAATACCCATTTTCATTCATAGCAGTACACATTGCCTTATCTTCATCATTTTCATATATGCAGTTATCATGACAAGTAACATTGCAGTGAAGACAATTTGTAGTATGAAGCCCTTTTCTTAACGGTATAAGGTTTTGAACATGCTTTTTCCTTTTATATCTAAAATCTTTGTTATCAGTCATTTGCGTTTTAAATTTCTCAAGAATTGCAATTTCGGATCTGCACTCTTCCATTTTATTCAACCCCTTTTCTACCTGAGACAGGAGAATTCCTGCAGTTTCTTCTATCTGCCGCCTCTTCTCTATCACTTCGGTTGATTGACTTAAACTCTTAGTTTTCATTGTTGACAATTTAAGCATGAATGCATCGAAACTAGAAACATTCATATCAAAGAAAACTTTTGTAAGACTTGTTTGTGATGTCTTGATATTGTCCGAGAATATTTCTGATGTATTGAAGGGAAAATAAGTTTCATACGGCAAGTTTGCCTCTTTAAGAGCTGCCAGGACAGGAGGAGCTTTACCATCCGAGAATGTGACAATAGAGCATATGTTTTCCTGAATATCTCGATGAAATAACGATGTGATTGTAGTATATATATACTCTTGTGTTATTGTCAAGCGGGATTCAGAAGCTCTCATGAATATACAAACTGCATCAACAAATAGTACACCCTTTTCATCAACTGCAGAGAATAATTCTTTCAACTGGTCTTTTATTTCTGCATCTTTCTCTATGCCTTTATCACCAAATCCAGGTGTATCGATTATAGTTAGCCTGAAGTCGACTTTACTGCCTTTTACCGGGACAACATTGTAGCATGTTATCCATTCTGTTTTTGGTAACCCTCCCTGGAAATGTAAGCATCGTTTATATAAGAATGTAATATGTTTGTGTTGGTTTCGTTATTAACATTTAGTGTTTCTGATTCATATAAAACTATACCTTTATTCACCGCAAAGAAGACTAATCATTTCAAAATCAATAAACTATGCAATGTTCACTAAAATTTACTTCACTTCTTTAATTATATTCTACTTTTGATAAAAATTTCTAATTTGAAAATTAAATACCATTGAAACAGGTACTTTTCCAAATGGTTCATTATCCTCTGCTGCTACGATAGAAAATCTGAAGTCGTCAGCAAATGTCACTCCAAATAAATAGTTGATGAGCCCATTCACAAATGTTGTTTTTCCTGTCCCTGATGCTCCCAGTAGTAACACCGTTTTCTCTTTCTGGTGATGCGCCTTTTCTTCGCCTGTAATAAAGATTTTTGTATTTATAGGAAATAAGTGTTATAATAATAATTGTTAAGAAACCATATACAGAATAACAAAAGGAAGGAATTTAAAAAAAATCGGGCTATTTTTTATCAAGACAGAAAAAAGTGATTAACTTTAATTGAATTTTATGCAATACTTTTACTGTCCGGTACTCTTTAGTATCTCTGAGTAAGTTCTACGGTTTCTATGATTTACTTTGAATAAAATACCTAATGTAAACTTTCTTGTCTTCAGTTGATGATTTTTCGCAGCTAAATTTTCATTCAGTCTAAATTTACGTAATTTCAGCTGATCTCCAATAGCAAAAACCTCTTCTGATAAATCGAAGACTAGTTCTGCAGCGGATGGAAGGGTTTCGATCGGATCACTGACTTCACTGTAAGGGCCTTCTTCCTCGTTGTTGACAAGTCTTACTTGGAAGACAAAGCAGGAATGTGATTTTAAATTTCTCACGGTCAATGTTGTATGTTGCGGTTTATCTTCGTCATAGTATTGCCATTTTGCATCATGCTTATTTTCTTTGTACCTTATCTGATAACAGCTAGAATCTAGTGTATCTGTTGGTGCGCTCCATGTAATCGTTACACTGTCAACATTTAGAGCCCCGACTTGTTTTGGTTTTCCAGGTTTTGTCTTGATATAAAAAGTATAAAACAATTGCCAAATAAAACAGCAAATTCAAATATGTTCTAAATATTAATGAGACAACTGCATGAAAATTAAAAGCTTTTCAATTTTTATCAAATTTGTTCACACCAATTCAAAGTGGTTCTAATAGCAACAATGAATATTGTATGTATAATTATCAGAGCGCAAGTGGCATGGGCATGTCTTAAGTATGTCATTTTTCTGAAAACGTCATTTGCGCTTAATTCTTTAATAATAGTCATGTACTGTTTGATAAAGATCGGTTTGATTTTGTGGTTTTGATGAACTTATTGCAATGGAATTTACCGACAACATGTGAAGTTGATATCTGTATTGTCAATTTAAACTAAAAATCCGAATATATATATTTGTCCTGCAATGTATCTTATGTTTAGATTGTTACAAAATGACATCTTACATTTGGAGTAATTTCTTCTTTGACTTCTTCTTTTATCGGCTCCTCACTTCTGTACAGGAAAGATTATTTTGCATATTATTAAAACGACACTAAATTCATTGCTACCAGATAGTTTGGTGATTGCAAGCCTACAAAATGCACATTATCAAAATGACTCTTGTAGGCGGCTCCGGGACGATTCAATTTTTACAAAACTTAGAGGGAAAATGTCAAATAGCTATTTTGCAGAGTTTAAAAATAAATCTACTTTATTTTAATGATACTAATAAAACATACATATCTTTCTTCAATCAGTGGCATTTCGCATTTACTCAAAAGAGAGATGGTAACCCCAATTTTATTTCAATCAAATTATTTCAAATTTCATTCTTTTTAATCATGAGAAGTTTTTAACTTTTTCTTTCCTGCCCTTACTGTACAAATATTGCAATAATGACAAAAACGTCACTAAGTTCATGTGGTTAGCTTTAATCATAATTAATTAACTAACTTGTTTTTGTCATTGTTTTCTTTTTCCGGAGACTGTTTGTCTTCGTTTCGGCTCATAATCTTGTGAAACTTTTGAACATCGTCTATCATATGTTGATTATGACAGCTTTCACACAACGTTTTAAGGCAATCAAAGCAAAATGCAACAACCGGACTCTGTGTACCTAAACCTTGACATAATTGGCAAATATCATTGTTGACTTGTTTAATGCCTGTTATTTCTGGTTCTGGTTCGAAGCTTCTGTAAAGCGTGAAATGAAAAAAAAAATCAACAAAATATATTTTGATATCTAGTTTAACCCAGATTCATTCTGTTTCAACAATATTTAAATAATTTGTTTTCCATAACTTAAAACTACTCAAATACTTGAAAAATAGTGAATTCATACTTCATGTAAGTGTTGAACATTAGATTTGAACTTTTTCTTCTCTCTTGGTACTTACATTTTGGATTCTGCTATATCATCCGTCATAGAATCATGATCTGGATTTTCATCATTAAAAATCAATCGATGTTTGTTTGTTTCGTCTAGTAACATGTGTTCATCTACGCATGTAGAACAGAGCTTTTTGTTACAGTCTAAACAAGTGCCTGTGGGAATTTCATTTTCATTTGAAACGCAACAACCGCATAATTCGGGGGCATCTGTATTGCTTATTTCATCAGGGATGGACTCACTCGAACTGCTTTTAGGAGTTTCACTGAAATGAATGTAGTATAAATAGGAAATTCGACAAAGAAAAAGGTGTTATAGTAAATACATCTAATTCGAAGTTTAAATGTAAGAAGTCATTATACATGTACATACACTTTATCTGCTTGTGATTCGTCACCATTTCCTGTGTCCGATGAATAGATTAAACGATGGGATTTTCCTTCGGCAGATTGTTTGTGATCGTTTGCACAGGAGTCGCATAAGGTTTGTCTGCAGCTGAAACAAAACCAAAATGACTGATCAAGAGGGGTTAGTCTGCTGTCTTCGTTGCAGCGGTCACAGTATGTCCCTCTTGCCGAGGATGTCCGACCTGTTTCTATGCGGGGAGACGCTTTGCTTGTATCTTGCTGATTTTCAATCTGGTGCGCCCTGGTAGCTTTTTGAGATCTATGAGCCTTTGTGCAGTCAAAACACAGTACTTCATCACACGTGACACACATGGCCGAGGACGGTCGATCTTCATCTCCATTATAGCTACATGCCTCGCACACACAACGCTTGTTTTCCACATCAAGCGTGGTTATTTCGTGACTCCGTGTTGCCTTTTGGGATTTATGTATTCGTGCGCAATTTTCGCAGTAAAATTCAATACATTCCTCACACCTTGCTACTGCTTCGACTGACACTCCGTTTTCCAAGCATGGTTCACAATATTTAGACAGTGACACATTGTTGTCAAGAAACTCCTCAATATCTGTCAGCTTATGATTCCTCGTTGCCTTTTGTGCCTTGTGAGCAGCAGAACAATTCTCGCAGTATGATTCTTCACAATCAGTACAATGTTGTTTTGCATCAACTGTTACATTTCGTCCATTAATACATGGTTCACAATATCTTGAAATATTTTCAGACATGATTGATTAATCATGAATCTTGGATTTTATTCTATTCGGAGCCGTACAAAAATCTGAAATACAACATAAGCTCTAATTTTAAATATGGACTTCACTTATATATTGTCGATATTTTATAAATACAATGGAAAATCATTTTCAACTATAAGTAACTCTGTAATACTTTATAATAACATAATTATACAGATAAGCCATAACTCAAGGTTCGTTTTTTTTGTTTAACTTAATAACTTAAGTTAATAACTTAAGGAACTAAAACATTGTACTTACTAAAGAATTCCTTTGTACCTTGCGGTCTTGTCATAACATAAAATAAGCTAGAACGCAATAAGCCATGTCCTATTAGCATTGAATGACAAAGGACTGAAATCAATATCTAGTATCTTAACATGTCAAGGTCGATCATTTCTGCAGTTAACAACTAATTTGCCTCTTCATTTGCATATATCTAAACAAGAAAATTTAAACAAACTGAAAATGATAGAGCGATTCGACGAATTTGCATTTACCCACTTGCACGATTTCCAATAATTTTTTTAGTTTTAGTTTCATATTTCTCAAAAAACAGACAATATTCTAGTTCTAGTTTCATTATATTGCTGACTTGTTTTACTAATCTGATTTTTGACAGATGATACTCTAATTTGATAGCCTGCCTTTGTTGTGAATGCCTCTATTTAAGGTCTTCTTTATAAATGTTATTAACGCTTGTTATTGTGACCTTATTGATTCTTTATTGATTAATATGAAAGGCGCCTTGACATATTTATAGATTCAGGTCAAGGTTTTTAATTTTTTACTGCCCAAAATGCCGTCCCACTAAAAAAAAAACAATTTTAAATTTACCTAATGAAAAAAATTATTAAATTTAAACAGAATATTGTATTTGTTTAATATGTTTCCCAGTTGTTCTGTTAAAACACTTTGAATATTGTTTTAAAAAGGGAAAAAAAACAAAAAAATTATTCCAAAACCTTTAAAAATATAGTTTTATAAATTTTTCAAGGCAATTTTATAACATATTAAGAGACGCGTTTTATACAGGGCCTTACTGCTAATAGTCTTATTTTTTTAAAAAATGTTTAAAAAATTTCTTACAAATACAAAATTTAAAGTATTTTGTTCTTCTTCTTCAAGTTTTCTTCTCGGGTTGTCAGCATTACTACATTTTACCCCAGTTGTTGGGGATGAAATTAAATAATGTCACATATTTATTTTTTATATTTTGAATATACATTCTTATCTAGAACAGAAAATATAGTCGTGAATAAATCTAAATTAGGCGGCGAAAAGATAAAAATATTCTGGGAATGATCAATCTAAAGTTATTTTGTAAATGTTGGTGCAAATTATGAAAATGGCTTTGTTAAAATAGTAAAATTGTAACCCATAACACATTTCTATTATACATGTATAAACAGTTGTAAGAATACCAAATAGTCGTGTATTCTATAAAACATTGTTGAATAGAATAGCATTATAACATTTTCTTGTGTTTAATACTGAAATAGTATAATTATATCAAATTAACTTTACCCTTCATTATTTTCAATGTCAGTTCTTTTATTTTCACCAAACTTATACTTATCTTTATATCTTAAATCATTATCAAATAAGAAGAATACATTTTTTATTTATAGAAATATCTAAAATAACTTTATCGTCGAGTTCACTTGTTTTTATGTGTTTTGTGTTTTGGCAAGTATGTGTGCGCGTGCGTGTTTGATATAGGACAAAAAACGTTCTTCCAAAGACAGAAAAAGGTCATAATTGAAAATTCAATCCACTAAACTAATATAACCGAATTTTTCCGTCGCCTACTTTATCTGTGACAGCGTTAGATCTTTAGATCTTCTCAAGGCCATTTGTAAGTAATCTAAACTTGTTTTCTTTGCACATTGACAGTTTTAGTATTGGTTATTGATATCTTTAAATCTTGCATAAATTTGAGTTTCAATTTAATTTGTTCAGATAATGTATGGTTCTTTTTTTTTTTGTTATTTTTTTTTTTTTAAGTTTTTGTCTGTTTGTTTTTATTTATTTTTTAGTTTTTTCTTTATTTATTTCATTTATTTTCTTCTTTTTTTCTTTTGCTTTCCATGTTTTTTGTTGTTGCTGTTGTTTTGTTTTGTTTCTTGTTTGGGGATCTGGTTGGGTGCGGTTGGGTGTGGGAGTGGTCTGGCAAGACACATAATAACGTTAACAAATTTGGCAGGTAAAGCACATTTAAGTTATGAAAATATATCAAATATTTTTGGTGATGGTTAAAAAATATTCATAAACATACTGATGATTTATCTTCATTTTTGATGATCCTGTCATATTCGGAAATAACATAGTAATGCACATAGTTTGGCTCGAACCAAAGATTATTGAGATGACAGGCAGACAGATTTAACCACATGGCCACCGCTACCCGCATTTATTATATACTAATTCAATCAGGTTTAGGTTAAAGTTTATTAGTACGTATTTACATAATGAAAAGGGTCAGGCACGGCGCAGCCGCGTGACCCATTAAGTTTTGTAAATACGTACTAATAAATTTTAACCGGCTTTTAATTATTTTTATAAAGAGTCGACTTACTAGACTGATTAACAGTTTGCCGAATTACCAAAGTAACTTTGAAATACTGCAATCCTATTGGACAAAAAATAATTTCAAAAACTAATGTGTGCTTTTGTAATTAGCCTTTTTCAAGCACTGACATGTTGGATTGTATGTACTAAAAATAAATGCATACCCGTTATTTTCAAGGTTATATTGATTTTGAACGAATAAAACGCCATCTAAGTCTGAAACGCCTTGACCTACTAGTTTCAATATTTGAGCTAACAATGGATAACCTTCAATTGTAGTTAAAGTGCATGTAGTTTCAATATTATTTCTTCTAATGTTCATTCCTGGAAAAACGAACGACATTTGGGCCTTTATATTTAGTATTTAAAGTACTTTCAATATCAATTTGTTAAAAGATATGTGAGCAAATATTCTGTTTTCAAAAGAAATTGAAATTTAAGAGTTTAAAGATATATTTAGTATTTTACATGAAGCAAAATAAAAAATTATCAAAAGATACCTGTATGCATACAATTTAAGCCAGTGAAAAAGTATTTCAAGTTTGCATTAAAGCGGTTTTGAATAACAAATGGCAACGTTATTATTATTTTCTAACAATAAGAAATTTTAAAATCCAACATTCTAGTAAAACTGATATAATTGTTATACAGACGATAATTTTCAGATCTATTACCAACTTGGATGAACGATATAATTATATGGAATTCTGACACATTTTATGAACCTACCATTCAACCACTGTTAATAACTGGCATGAAAGAATAAACCCAAATAATACAAAAAAAGGAAATTACGAAAGTAAACAAAACACGCACACATTCACGGGGGAGGAAGTGTTACACGAAGGATGGAGTTCTTATGATAACTTGTTCAGGAGTTCTTGTGATAACTGTCACGAAGTTCGTCGGAAAACATCTGTATATACTACAAAAACACTCGTTAAAAATGGTTATTTTCATCGTTCAAAAATGAGTTTTAGATGCTAAATTAAACTTTAATGATTAAGCTTGTCTTACATCTTGTATTATGTGTCAAAGCCTAATTCACATGCCATTTTTAATCGCCTCTTGCTTCAAATCTGGTAGTTTTCAGTAAAATTTCCAAATTATTTGCCAGTTCACAAGTTTTGACCTGTTTATTTCTGGTCTTCATCCTTGCCATAATAATTATCTAATTATAATGCAAAATTGCAAACATAAAGCACCGACTAACAAATATATACCCGATTTTTCAAATGTTCCGGAGTTCTTGTGATAACTCTGAAGATGTCACAGAGTTCTTATGATAACTTTTGTTATTCACATTGTGTTTCTTGCGCTAAATCACGGCACGTTTTAGCGTTTTTTATTATTCAATAAGATTGTAAATCATTATGAAATGTAGTACGCTTCATCCTTTGCGCAAAAAATAGGATATATAATGTTGGTCTTTTGAGTGAATTTTTAGTTCAAGAGATATTATTCTTACCCCCGTTTCTTTTTCATTAGTATTTTTGTTTGACGCAGTTTTTTGTAGACTGGAAAAAGGATTTATATACTGGTTTCCTAGCAGTTTCCGGCTCCTAGCAGTATTCTGGCCCTTTATCATTTTCATCCAGGCATACAGACTATTTTTTCTCAGTTAAGCATCTATGTTACTGCATCAGTCAGAGAAACAATTGTTTTCTATGTAACGCAGCAGTTATAATAGCGATTAATATGTTTCAAAGTTTTGTCCCTTGTTTTAAGTTACATTAGAGAACATGCGACACTTACAAGCAACACCTGGGGAATTCTAGTGAATGCCCATGCACAATAACTGAAATCCCATTATAGGTAAATCACTACTATATTTGCAGACGACACGGAAAAGTTTTGGAAGTTATCTACATGTGTATTTGAAAACCCAGCTTAACATTGCTTATTGGTACTGAATTATATTCAAAATATAAAAGGTTCCAAATACTGCTATGAAATTTTGAATAAATGTGAGCAAAGTTGTTACATCTCAGGCCTTTATTCCATCAAAATGTAAAACAAAAAAAAACATTACAATATGATAATGCTGGACAGGTACCTAACTTTGTTCTGTCAAAGTTTGCACTCTTTGGTAGACAGATTTTTACTTTATTTGTTAAAAAGTGCGATTTGGTGCCGGGAACTGCTATGAAACCAGTAGGGCATTTATGTACGTGATAAAATGCGCTTTGAAATACTCAAATATGGTATTTTCATGTATATTTTTCTGTCGATGTTTGATGAGTATTTCACCTATGTAATCTTAGTGGAGGAAACTCTGCTACTTTTGCTGTAATTGATAACAAAAATATATAGTCAAACTTAGTTCGCTTGAACCTGGAGGGACAGTTCAAATTTGTTCGAGAGACCAGTAGTTTATCATGTATCGTACTTTTTTAAGACATAGGTGTGGAAATTATCCTGGTTATATACTTATTTATTATGGTATAAAATGATACAAATTACTTAGCCCTTAGGTAAGGGAAGCATGCCTATATATTGTCTGCTTAAGAAAGGTGGTTGCTTAAAACATGTGAAACTGAGAACAACGTGTACGTTTTGAGACATTCTTGTTTTGTGGTTTAAGCCATTATAGTGCTGAATACTAGTATCAGTGACCACTAGTTCAATTTTTACTGTAGATGATAGCCATTCAGCTATTTATCCTTTGCAGACACTTAAGACCAACTTTTTATCCACATTTTTGTGCAAAGGATGATAGTGCTGCATTTCATAATGATTTACAATCTTATTAAATAATAATAAACGCCAAAACGTGCTGTGATATAGCGCAAGAAACACATTGACAATAACAAAATTTATCAAGCATAAGAACTCTGTGACATCTTCAGAGTTATCACA